ATAAAAACCAAACTGTCCAGATGCATCTCTCCTTCCAAGCAGGCTACTTCGACTGTTACCCTCATCTTACTGAATCACTCTTTAGTAAGCTTGGGAGTTGCAAAGCCATTTTTCTACATGTAAGTGATTTTTATACATACATTAAATGCATGATACAGGAGAATTGAGGAGAGACAAGAAAAGGAGGTCTGAGTTGTTCAGAGATGGCCTAGACTGAGAAAGTATCTTCCTGTATTTCATTTCTGTATCTAGATAAAAATAATAGCTTTAAAAGTTCCATTAAGGGAGGGGAATTGGAGTGTACAATAGATAAGCTCAGAAGCTAGACAGACAGTGTTTGTGGGAGGGGGGAAAGAAAGACAGGAACCCATTTAATTTTTTCTTCCTGTGCCAGAACCATCTCTTGCTGGAAAAAATTACTTTTCTATTTCCCAACTTCAGCCCATTTTGCTTCTTGCTTTATTTGCGTCTCTTCTGTCAAGCACCTAAATATTTCTTAATTGAACCGCTCATCCTGCACTCCTCTTATAGCTGTTTAATAGATTAACTCATCTGTGCCAGCTTCAAATTTCAGATTAAAATTCCTTCATCCCGAAGGAAGCATTATCAGGTTGTTGGAGGCTGTTTTCAAACCTTGGTTTTGAATAGCAGCGGCTCTGCATTAATTTAACCACTAAGCTAATAAGTAGGTTTCGTTTTGTTATGCTAAGCTTTATTGCTTTTCTTTTGATCAGAATGGTGTTGTTGAGCAAAGCAGCAGACAAGGCATTCTTTGATGAGGGAATTAGTGCTCTATTCTTCCTCTATTATTCATAGCACAGTGGAATATGTAAGTACCTGAGGGTGTCAAAGGAGAGCAGGCTCTATTGCAAAGTGTTCGCCTTGTTTCTCTCAATAGCTGACTATGAGATGATAAACTGCTTAATACACTGCACTAATTGGATGAGAGCAAAAAGAGATGGGAATTAAGGCTAGGCAAAAAGAGAAAGTGCTACCAGCCTTCATTCACTCTTTCACCACTTTAACAGCGCCAAAGGAGGCACAAGCTTTCTATAAGCAGACTAGAGGTTTTGTGCAGAGATAAAATGAACCTGTTAGTGAATTCAAGTAATACACTAATTATTGCACAGTATAAATACCACTACTGGTTTTATAACATGAAGGTAAACTTCTTTTGAGACAGTTATAGGATTGCTTGGCAGTAGTATAGATCCTAATAAGGGACCAGAGTAATAACCCCCCTGGATTAGCAAAATTGCTGCTTGCAGAAGTATGATTCTGGCTTTTATAAAGATTTCTGCCAAATGAATAAGAATAACTGAGTGACATTTCTTAATGCGTAATGGATTGATAATGATTCCCTTTTCTTTAAAGTAAAATATGTACTTCAAACTCTACCGTTAATCATGTCCAGGGGCAAATGTTCTTTTTTTCTGTAAAAATATTTTTGCACCTATGGTGGAGTTTTTTTACACTCCAAAATATATATGTATATAAGATGCTGTCAGTTAAATGTATGGTTATTTGGAAGAACTGCAGTTTGTTCATAAAAACAAACACACTAAAGTGCTCACTCTATGTAAATGTGAACTGTGAGGGGAGGAAAATCCACCTGAATCCTATTTGCCATCTTCTCTGCAGAGGTCTTGCAACAGAGCCTTGGGCTTTCTTCCTCTGTTGGGTAAGCTGAATTCCCTTCTAGGTTGCTGCAGCTGGAGTGTTTTGTGATCTATTACACTCCATTTTAGAATTACTCCACAGTCCATGACACATTATCAGTCCCTTATGCATTAAGAAATGTCACCCAGTCGTTTCTGTTCATTCCCCAGAAATCTTTATAAACGCCAGAAACATACTTCTGCAAGCAGCAAGTTTTAGTGGCATTTGTTTGTGGTTGCTGGGTGTCTTTTGTGGGGCTTGTTAATCGGAGTATGTAAATAATGTTTCATTATAAAAGCTAGCAAGCAAGCAAACAAAAGCCTTAGCTACTAAAGCATGTTTCATGGAGCCTACAAGCTAGTGCACTGTAACCACACCATAAGAAAAACTGCCCGTGGTAACTGGAAAGCATCTGATGTGCAATTGTATGGCCATATTCACCCTTTGCGCTCGAGCAACGAAAGCAATACGTCGAATAGAGCCCCGCGCCCCGTGGTTTTGTCCCAGGATGTTGTGTTTAGGTCTCCCACAGGGCCGGATGTGGGGGAAAAAGTCACGTTTCCGGCCAGCCTGGTCCAGGTGCAACCGTAACTTTGTTACTGAAAAGCCAAGAGAAGATTCTGCTTGGAGGAACTTTGCTGAAACTTTGGGGGGGGGGGGGGCGGTTCGATGGAAGACAGACTTGCCCGGCCTTAGCATCCTATAAAGCCTTCCTAACTTACTGGGACCTTATAAAGGCGTTTTCATTCATAAGTAATGCTCACAGTGGGATCCCAGGGAGAGCGCCCCAGCCATCCCGTGGGTCGCTCCTGGCAGGTCCCCTTTTCCCCTCCTCGGACAGCTCCCGGGGAAGGGAAAGGTCGCGGGTTTCTGTGGCGGCTTTGAGGGCTTGTCAGGCGTGACACCCCGGCCCCTCTCTTAATCTGGGGGAGCTCGCGGGACGCCCGGGGCTCCTTTTTGAAGCGTGCGCCAGGGAAGCCGCGGCTGCGGCCGTCCGGAACGGGTCCCGACCAGCTGCGGAAGAATAGGGGGCCTTTCGCTTGGGTTTGTTTGCAGCCGCCGAATGACACGGGATTAAGGAGGTTTGTAAACCAGGGCCGAGGGGGGCTTTCAATGGGCCGGCGATGTAATCCTCGGAGGTAATTTCACGCGATTTGCTTCTGCTGCATGGCAGGGTCAAACGGGGGGAAACGGCTGGAAACAGGCGAGATGAGGCCGGCGGAGAATGGGACGCTGGCGCGCCCGGCAGCCTCGGCAGCTGGCGCGGCCGCGGAGCACCGAAGCAGCGTGCCCCCCCCGCCCGCCCGCCCGCCCCTCGTGTCCAGGCAGCGAGGCCTGCGTTGGCCCCTTTCCCCGATGGGCGTCGGCCACGGGGCCCGCCAGCCTCGGGAAGGCGCTCCCCACCGCCGAGGGGCGCCCGCAGCGCGGACGGGCTTCCCGACGCACAGCCGCGTCTGCGGGGTTGGCTCGTGCCGCTCCAACCGAGTCGGCTGCGGGCGAGGCAGCGCCGCCTCCTCCCGCTGCCCTTTGCTGGGGGCCGCGGGCAGGGCGTCTTTCGCTCCCCGCGCCGCGCGCAGCAACCCCGGGCGAGCCGCGGAGACCTGGCCCCTTCTTGAGCGGCCAGCTCCCCCAGGCCCTGCCCGGTCAAGGGGGCAGGCTCTCCAGGCGCCCCGTTCGGCGCCACGCGGGCCGGTGGGAGCTGCTTCTGCACTGGGCAGGAAGCGCGCCCGGGCCCGTCCGGGGCTGCGCAAGAGCGCGAGCGGCTGGGAAGGAAGCCCCGGGCTGTGCTGGAAGCTCGCAGCTGGCGCGGCGCGGCGCGGCCAGAAAGTCACGCTTCCTGCGCCGCGTGCACGCACGCAGGAAGCCCGCACCCCAGGGCTGTGCGTACTTACTCCGAAGTATTCCCGCTAAGGGTCCCACAGTAAGAGGACGTGGATTGCAGTCCTGTGCCCACTCAGTGGGTCTACTGTATCTCAGAGACTAGCTCGACTCGGGCTATTTGGGCCGTGGAAAGAATCCTACTTAGAAAATTCGTGAAAATCAGAATCAGAATAAGAAAAAGAACACAGAACCTTGTCTTAGTTTTCGTTTATATAGTTCAGCTTAGGCTGAACGACCAAGATTTGTAAAGTTCATTCTTCTCATCACTCTCTAATTCTGTAACCGAGTTGAATCCTTGGCAAACGCCCCTTTTGGTTCTTAGCATGAGGACTTCCAATGACGCTGCACCTTCGAGTATCATTTTGAATTCTTGAAAACGCGCGAGCGCGCGCGTGTGTGTATGCACACTTTATTTTCCTATGGGTGACACTTTTCCCCTTGATCACAAGGGAAAGTGAGAGCAATAACATTACACAAAAGTATGGCACCAATGCCCGTTTGCTCTCTTTCTCTTTTTGGGTTTCGGGAACGTCTACGGTTAATAAGTTAAATAAAGGGTTTGTACATAAATATTTGTCTAGGGCCGCTATGATATCTATAACACAGTAAGAATCTACAGAAATGACAAACTTGTACAAACACTACACTGAGTGCAATTCTTATATAACATTTCAAATATACAAAGCTCTGTTGGCTGTTTTTCTTTTTTCTGTTTTTTTCCGTTTTTTTTAATAACAATGACATATGTACAGTATTGAGCATCACAGTTTAGTGACTTTTAAATAGTCCATATTCTAGCACTGTATTTCCCTTTGGTTTGCTATAAAACCCTTGGTTGGTGTAGTGATCAAAGGCGGACAACAAAGACCAGGCCCCTTTGCCTTTAAGTGCACTGGTTCGTGTATGCAGCAGCATCGTGTCATTGGCTTTCTTTTGGCCCTGCCAGCAGCAGCAACAGCAGCGGCAGCAGCAGCGAAGAGCGTCCTGCTCCTTGGTTCACCGTCCTCCCACTTCGGAGCCTCCCGCGATCTCCTTGGATGACATGAACGGCCCAGGATGACAAAACGGAGGAGGGGGAGAAGGGAGAGAGGAGCGCGGGCTTTGCCATCCTTCCTAAGCCCACCCCCCTCGCGCTGCCTCCCGCCAAGGGCTCCCTCTCCCTCTCTCGGGCGGAGGCTTGCTGAGAAGCGGCAGGAGCAGAACGCAGTTGTGACAAATGTCCCCAGAACGAGCTTCTCCCGCGGTTCGCCCCGAGGGAAGCGGCAAAAGCAAGGGGCCTGGCCTTTCTCCGAGTCCCAAAGCGGAGCAGAACCTCTGCAGGGCCGCTGGTCCTCTGTTCCACTGTGGGGGGGTCTTGCCCGCCTGCCCGCCTCCCCGCCTGCCTCTCTCTCCCTCCCGTTTTGGTCTTGGACGCGTCCCTCGGCGAGGCGATCTCCGGCTGTCCCCCAGCTCGGGGCCGCTTAGCACACTTCTTTGCCCGTGCTGTTCCCGGGGAGGATGTTGAGCTGCGTGAGCTGCGCCGCGTGCTCCTTCGCCTTCAGCCGCAAGGCCGCGATGCTGGAGGCGCGTCGGTCCGCCGCCGCGGTGGCCGGGTCCGAGAGGCCGCCGCCGCCGCCGCCGCCCGACTGCACGGCGCTCTCCACGGCAGGGGCCGGCTGCCGCAGCAGCGCGGCCGCGGTGGAAGCGCTCGACAGCGGGGCCATGGTGGAGAAGAGCCTGCAAGCAAAGGAGACACGGGCCGGTCAGGGGAGGCTGCTCGGCGCGGGGCCTCTGCTGTCTGCCCCGCGGGGCCGCTCTGAGCCCCGCTCTTGCTCCCGGGCCGGCGGGCTGCCGCGATGCGCCCGGGCACCGGGCAGGCGGCGACCTGGCGACCCCGCCCGAGCGGCTGCGATCTGCCCATGTTCAGTGGGCCAGACTGGAAAGGGGGTGCTCCCGCCTGTCCTCCTCCGTCTTCCCTGCAGCCCCGCTCCTCCTTGGGGGTTCGGGGAGTTCACCCCTCGCCTCCTTGATTGCCCACTGAACATGTGTCCTTGTTCAGACCGCCTGAGCGCCTGAACTGGGAGGGGCGACGGAGAGCGGGAGAGGGAGAGAGACAGACAGGTTGGAAAATCCCCGGCGCTGACAGTCAAAAAGATTATTTGTAAAGTGTCTAATTCTCTCCCATTTGCTGGTGACAGAAGCTGGCTGTCAGGAGCGCTCGAGCCTGTGATCAGAGGCAAGCATTAAATAAAAATAAAATCGCGGCTTTTCAGTGATGGATGGATTTCCCTCTTCCCTGGGTGGGTCTCTCTCCCCTTCCCGCTCTTCCCCAAGCCCACGTTGCTCTTTTAGCCCACGCTGCTCCGCGGAGACCGCACACGCGCGCCCGCCTCTTCTGCCGTGCCCTGCCCTGCCCTCCGGAGGAGCGCGCCCCCCAGCGCGCCGGCCCCCGGACGCCCGACGCCGCTCCCTCGCGCGCGCGCGCGCTCCCTCTCTCTCGCGCGCGCCTGCCTGGCTGCGCCGCAGCGCGGATGCCCACGCCCAGCAGGGAGCGCCGTCCCTGCGGATTTCCTCACAGTGGAACGCCAATTATTCTGCGGCAACCCTAGCATCCCGGCTCAATGACACAATCTGCGAAATGCCTTCCCCTCTCGTTTGCCTTCCTCGCCTCTCCCGCGAGCAGCCGCGCTGAAGAGTGCAACTGACCCCCTTGACTGGCGCGTCGAGCGATACAGGCTCTCCATTAACCAAGGAGGTGATTATTGACATCATCCCGGCTAGGAATTGAACTGTGGGCCTGGAAGGCAACAGGGGCTACAGACTAAGCCCGAAGCCGGCTAAGCTCCAGGACTGCCTGCCTGCCGCGGCCCGGAGGCGGAGGCGCTCGGCGGTTTGCGGGTGGACTGCGGCGCCCTGGCGGCCCCTCTCCCCGCAAGTGCAGTCCGGCCCAGCGTGTGCCTGAGAGGCAAAGATCTCCACACTTCGGGTGTCTTTCCCGAGCTGAATTCGAGTCTCGCAAACCTTCTCCCAAAGAGAACAGGAACACTCAGACCGCCTCACTTGAGGCCTGAAGGGCGCTCAGAAGCCACCGGAGGAAGCAGCCTCGATCCAGGCCTCTTCCTCCCAAGGCAGCGTCCGCACTACGGAACACGACTTGAAGCCACAGCCACCACGATCGCCTCCCGAGACATGCAGCTCCCCCCCCCCCCCAGTCTTGCTTTCTTTTGTCGCACGCCTATTTTAATCGCACAGCCCATTAGCCAGTCCGTCGAGGGAGCTCTTTACGGCTCCCCTTGCAATGCGCCGGGGTGGGGGAAGAGGAGGACGGGCACAGGGCGAGGCGAGCGCAGCCTTGCCCAGGGCTCTGGCCTTCGGCTTCCTGCAGCCCCGCCCCGCATGGCCAGCCGTCGGGGGCGCCGGCTGCAGGGCCTGGGCTTGCGGGAACCATTGCCACAAGCAGGGCCCAGGCCGGGCTAGGAAGTGACGGCCGCGGCCTGTCCCCGCTCGAGACCACAGTCGCTCCGCTGCCGAAGCAACGGCTCCGTCTTCACCGGGCGGCGGCCCCTTAATTTCACCTGGATTCCCTCCCTCTTCATTCAAGAGATACATTTGCTACGTCGTCCCTGCCCGATTAATCTGTTCTTCCTTTGTTCCCCTCTGTTATATTTCCCTCGTATCTCTCTAGACCTATCAGAAATCCTGCAATTGAGCTTTTGTCTCGTTCATGAGCTGCCGACCGCATAGTTTTCACTTTGGAAAGCTGATACAAGGTAACTCTTCCTCACTGGGTTACAAGCTGGATTTCCCCCTCAGGTGTATACTACAAGGGCTGGGCACCCCGCTCTGGCTCTCTCTGCAGCCCGCGTTGTGAGCTTCCTGTTGCATTCAGCCAGCGAATAATCCCTCTGCCTGCGATATCGCCCTCTCCAACCTCGTTCAGTTATGTCGTGCAGATCCTTTCCGTAAGCATTTAACCGGGGGTGGGGTGGATATGAGGAGGGACGCTACACTTGAAGTACACGTATCGTACGCATGCGGATAATTTTAAAGGGTAGATTTTCCCATGAACAAACTCATATGCAGGTCCTAACTAGACCGAACGGAAGTAAAATCCCTGACGCCAAATGACCAGGAAATCTCGCTAATTTGAAAAAAAAAAAAAAAAAACTTCCTGATCACTTTGTGCAGGTAATTGCCAGAGATTGGCGGGGTTTTTTAAAAAAGTTACCCCCGTCCAATCAACGACGACGAAGTAGCACGTGATCAGCACACGAGGGGTGCCGTGCCTGAGCCCGCGACATTCGAATTCCTAACTCTGAAGGCGCCTACTGAGGAGCCGTGCCATTTGCCACCCGGCCGCAAAAAGCGAGCCTTCGCACCCACGCGGTCCCTTCGCTAAAGCAGCGTCGCTGCCCTCGCCAAGCCTGCGATCCTGCGAGCCGGGCCCGCTGTGCAGAGGAAACAGTGGAGGTTTAAGAGCCCGTCCAGCGCGCGTTCAGACACGGCTGCCAGCGCGCTGCGGCCAGCACTGTAGGATGGCGCCCATCAGGAGGAAAAACCTCCCCCACTCGGCCACGGTGCCGTGGGTGCTGGGCCGTCTCCTCCAACGGAACTGCAGGACACAGGGCTGGGCGGCGGGCGTGATTTCTCCCAGCTGCACGAGGCGTCGAAGTGGCCCTGCCTCCGCCTCTGCCCGGGGCGCGCCCACGGGCGCCTCATGTGCGCCCCACAGCCGAGGAGCGCCCGCTCGCTCCTTCCCGGCCTCCTCGTGCGCCTCGGGACGCGTGCGCCCGCCTGAAGCCCTCTGGTCTGGCGAGCGGGCCCTGGCCAGCCCGCGCCTGGCGCACGCGGGAGCGGTTACCTGCCGAAAGCCGGGCTGATGAAGGCCGGGTGCCGGAACACCGCCGCTCCCAGGAAAGTGCTGAGGCCGAGCGGGGTCCCGCTGGGAGGCAGAGCGGCCGAGCCCGGAGGAGGCGGCGGCAGGCTGGGGAAGGCGGCGGCGGCGGCAGCGGCGGCGGCGGCGGCCGTCCAGGCGGAGTCGAGAGCTGGGTGGTGAGGAGGGAAAGGACTAGCATCAAGGTAGGGACTGAGCGGGTGAGACGCCGACAGGGGCCCCGGGAAAGGCAGGCCGGGCGGGTGGCTCTGCGCGCCGGCCTTTTCCCTCTTCCGCCATTTGGCTCTCCGGTTCTGGAACCAGACCTGGAAGCCAACAGAAAACAGGGGGCAAGGCGGTTAGTCAGCGGGCCCTCCGCGCTTCTCCTCCGCGGCGCGCAACCCGGCAGCCCGCGAGCCGCTCGTCCGCAGCCAGGGGCCGTGCTGCGCAAACGGGTAGGGCGGCTCGCCCGGGAGGACTGCGCCCCAGCTCGGCTCCCCCAAAGCCGCCGAGGGAAGAGAGCCGAGCGCGGCGACGATCCTCCAGTGGAAGAAGTCAAACGGCGGGGTTTCTCGGGCCCTTCCGCTCCGCAGGGCGGTCCCCAAGCGCAGGTCGTAGGCCTGCTCCCACGGCAGCAGCAGAGGGCCGGTAGAGGCTGCGCCTGATCCTGGAGGCCAGAACCCGACACGATGTGGCGCTCCCGTCCTTTGCCCTGCCTCGGTTAGCGCCCTTGCTGGCGAGGGTCCGAATGCAATCCCGGGCGTGTGTAAACAGAAAAGGGCCTGCATTTCCCAGCATCTCTCCAGCTAGACTTGCTGGGAAATGGTAGAGCTTTCTTTTAATGTCGAAATACACACAGGAATGTCCCTTCCGACTGTAATCCCCTTGCTGGCAGGGATCTTTCCCCCTCCCTCCAAAGCTAGAATAGGCCATGGACATTAGAGGTGTAAGGCAACTAATAACACCCCACTTCCCCAAGCGTCCTCTCGTACATTTCAGCGGAAGCGATCACCTCTTCGTGGCCTGGGCTCCGAGTACCGCAGGGAGAAACACACCTGGAGCCCCGGCCTAAGGAGCTGGCCCTCCGTAATAGCGCCGCCGCCAGGAAGCCTCGCCTAACGCTACCGCTGCCTTCCTTCCTTCCTTCCAAACCGTGCAGGCTTTTCGGTTCCCCTCACCCCACCCACCCCCTCTCGTTTACTCAACTCCGCGGGTTTGACAGACAGTTGAATGTTTTCGCCAACACGTACGCTAAACATCATGTTTTCTTTTATTGCAAGCGTAAAGCCAAGCCTTCTGAGCAGCGCTTAAAAGGCTTAAGGCTCATTTCCCAGTCGATGGAATCTTTTTAATATTATTAAGGTGGCTATTACGCGATCCCCGCAGCCGCCCACACAGCGCGCCGCCACGAGATCTCGCGGCCCGCGTTCGCTTTCGCAGGCGCCGCTCGGCATTTCATCGGGCGGGGAGGGGGCTGGAAGGAGAACAAAACAGGAGCAATAAACCAGCCCCCCGTTCTCCTGTGTCTTCCTTTCGTAACCAAAACTAGAGGCTCGAGGCCGTTCCCAGACGATCTGAGCCATCCACGCACTTTCTTCCATTTGAACCCGCGCTGTTAGAACGGGAAAGATCCGCGCGTGGTGGGCTGTTTAAATTCCCGCAGCTTTTGCTACCATCCGAGAAAAGCCTATGCAAAAGGGTCGTGGGGGGGGGGGGTGAAGGAGAAAGGACCCACAGACCGCGAGGGGCGTGAGAAAGGGAGGGAGCTTCCCCGGGTGCCTGGGTTTTTTCCGCGCCCGCCAGGAAGGCCCTCCATCCAGCCCGGGCGCAACAGCCGAGGGGCTGCGTTTCAGGCAGCGAAAATCTTGCCATCGGCGTGTCTCTTCTTTTCCAACTCAATTAGCAACTTGGGCCCCTCTGCAAATTCTCCCTCTTAGTGTATTAATAAGTTTGAGTACACCCAAAGGTAAACCGAGGTACTCTAATAATTCATATTCCCTTAATTACATCTTCTTCGGTGAATAAGGAGGGGGGCGGGCGAGAAAGAAAGGGGGGGGGTCTCCCTGTCTCTGCTCGCTCTCTTTTTCGTTATTTAACTTTCCCACGACTCATTCCCCTGAGCTGAAAATCCTGATTTGCTGTCACATCTCTGTTTGACAATGGAGAAATGTGTCAACAGAAAGGAGGGGACCGGGCTCTTCATTAGCCCCTCTAATGCGAGAAGCTGTTGTGTATTAAATGAGCCATATGGAATTTATGATGCTTTAGCCGCGCCTGACTTTCAGTGTAAAGTGATTTGCTCAGAGCCAAAAGGCCGAAGCCATCTGTTGGGGGCCGGCCAACGCCGGGCGTGTTCAATGCCTGCTTCTCCACGCTCCGGAGCCTCCAGCTCTAGTTGGAGGAGAAGCGCTCGGCTGGGAGAGGGAGGGACCCCCACTCTCTCCGGCAAACACCTTTAATAGCATTGCACATTAGATCCAAAAACAAAATGTGGGAAATCAAATAGCACGCTGCTTGGCCCGCTTTGGAACCGGGGGGGGGGGACCTTTCAAGGGTCCTATTTGCTCTAGCGCCAAAGTGCCTTTTGATGGAGGCCGGATTGGCCATTTGGAAGCTCAGCCAGATACCTGCTTGGCGCGACGTTGGGCTGACAACGACCACTAAGATTTTAGTGGTGTGGTGGTGGGAGTGGAGGGAAAGAAAGCCTTACTGGGTCTCTCTTCTCCCCCCGCCCCAATCTAAGCATGGACTGGGAACGAAATCTGACACGGCTGCCCGCTGTCCATCACCACCGCGTCTGGTTGTAATGGGGCAGCAGGGGCGGGAAGAGAGCATGTGGGTTCCAGGGTCTCTCCTTATTGTCCCACCACCTTCCGAGACCCCCTACCCACAGGGATTCCCCCACCGCCACCCCGCTGTCCTCCCAGCTCCCGCTCTCCCTGGACTCACCTGCACTCTGGCTTCGGTCAGATCCAGGCGCATCGCCAGCTCCTCCCTGGGAGGGAAAGAAGCACAACAAGACAGGCGCTCAGGTGAGGCCCTGCAAGGGGAGGGGGAGAAAGAGTCCAGCGACTCAGACTTCGGGGTCCAGCGCCTCCCCGCTTTGTCCATATAGGGAAGAGCCATCTGTGCGCAAACGAGCCCCAGGCAAGGCCCACTTCCTGCCCTGAGACTCGGGTGCTGACCTCGGGTCGCCCCGCATGTCGGAGCCTCCGCCCCTCCCGCAGGCCCGATCCCGAAGCAGCCCGGACGCTCCTGCCCGCACTCAGGCGGGGACCCCAAGCACCCTTCGTGGCTTCTGCTGCAGGGGCTTCCCTGCTCGATTAACGCTGCTTCTCGCGCGCTTGATGCATTTTCAGGGGACGGGACGGTTTGGGGGCGGGGGAAGCGGATCACCACGGGATTGCGTTTCCCCAGCTTGCGCCAGGCTCATCTTTGCTCCTGCTTCCGGGGCCAAACCCCTCCAGCAGTTCCGCGCCTTCGAGAAACGCTCCCTTGCTCCAAGGGCTGCGCTGCGGCACAGGGGTGATCCATTGAGCTGCAATGCGAGCCCTTCATTGCGGTTATTATTGCAACAATTAAGGCAAATCGGAAACCATTAGGATGTTAGGAAACTGCTCATAATCTGTTTACCTCGAATATGAGAGCGCCCGGGATAATTGGCTCTCCCTCCGCTAGCAAGAAAAGCACCGCGCTGGCCAAAGAGGGAGCCTGGCTGGGCTGCAGCGGCAAGAGGATTGCCCGTGCCCGGCTCCTTCGGGCTGCCAAATAAGGGAAAGCCCCAGGCCGGGCCGTCGGGTTTCCCCGGCAGGATCGCCAGCTGAAGCAAAGCCCTCGCTCTCCTGCCCGATGCACGTCTGGCGCGAAGTGGCCTGGCTAAATGCGCCTGGTAAATACATTTCCACTTCAAATGCAATTCGAACTGGAGCCAGGCCTATGTATTTGCGCCCCCTCCCCACAGACTTCCAGGAAAGGCCACACGCCACTTCCAGGATCGCTATGAAGAAAGGTTGCCACGGAGCTGTGCTCCAGCCCACCGTCCCGTACAGCAGCAAGAGAATCCCGCTGATTTTCTCAGCCATCCAGCCGAGGCTGCGATTCTTACCCCGCTGGCCTGGAAGGATATTCCAGCAGGTGCGCTAAGACAGAAACGCAACCCATTTCCGCGGAAATGTTCCCAGGATGAAGGAGGTATGAGTTTAAAGCACGCAGTTTTTGAAGTCAAGGAGGGGGAAATGACTATATTCAGAGACCAAGAATTTCCTCTTTCTTGGCACAAGTTGAAAGAAAACAAAAACACAGGAACATTTGCTACCAGGATTGTGAAATGTGACTACCTGGAGTCCGAATGCCACCAACACACACACACACACATACACACACACACATATACACGAAGAAATCAAGTCTTGCAAGTAAAAATTCAATTTCTTTCACTTCCCTGCCCCGAAACAGGTCAACCTCAGCCTGAGTTTAATAAGAGCGTTTTGCTCTTTTCTTCTTTGTTCCCGATTATTTAGCTACATGACTGGGCCGTTTTGGGTTCAGAAAGAGGAAAACCACTGGTGGGGAGAGCAAAGGATCCGAACCCGACTAATAAAGGTCATCTATACATGGCCCCAAGCAAATGGATCTTCCCGTTATTACTTCGGTTGCATTAAGCTCGCCTCCCAAAGCGGACTTTAAACTGAAGCGTGTGTGAAGTGGGCTCCCCTGGAATCCTGATCATTTCAAGGCAGACTGGAGCCTTGAGAGTAAGCCTGCACGCGGTACCGCTCCCACCCCACCCCCTGCACGGTCAAATCCCAAGCAAGGCGGTCCATGGAGTGGCTCTTTCTCCCACCCCACCGCCACCCCTCTGTCCAATTTCTTTTCTTTTCTGGACTGTGCCCAGGAACGTCCTGCGGAGCCAGCGAGTAGGCGGCGGGCTCGCGCGTGGGGCCTCTGCCAAAGCGACCCGGCTACGCTGCCATCTCGTCCCATATTTTTAGCCCTCCAAAGCGGAATACTTTGATCTTTTCAATATATATGCACACACACACACGCATGCATACATCGACTTCCAAACAGCAAGGCAGCTCTCCAGCTTCCATGGAAAGCTGCGAAACTGATACCCGGCAGACTGGTGGGGAGGACCAGGGCAAAAATAGACCCCGAGAGATTTTGGCAAGGCCTGGCCCAAGCTCAGTCTCACCCGTCCTTGGCTGGTGAGCTCAAGCTCCTCTCCCCGAGCTCTGGGCACGTCGGCTAGGAAAGGCCACGCACTGCGGGGAGGGATGGCCCTCGGAGCGACACGGAGCCGGCGGCGACGGCCGGGAGACGGGGTGGGCGTGCGGGCTTGCAGAAAACTCTCCGACGCACCGACCTGCCTGGGGGAGTTGCGCCCTGCCCCTCGTCTCGGCTCCCCACGACTCCCCTTCCCCGCGCCCAGCTCCCCAAGGCCTTGCCTCGCTTTCCCTGCTCAGCGAATTTAGCAGCGAGAGCCAAGCAAAGCCGGCTCGCCCGCCGACTTTGCCCTGCCCGCAGGGGCGGCCCGCGAGCTGCCCGTCGCCATCCTGCTCCGTCCAAGTCCGAGCGGAAGAGCACTCGCCCGCGCCGCGGCGCAGCCGGGAGCCCCTGGAAGGGCGCCGGCGCGGCCGCCCCGTCCCTACCTGGTGAAGACGTCGGGGTAGTGCGTCTTTTGGAAGGCCCTCTCGAGCTCCTCCAGCTGGTAGCTGGTGAAGGTGGTGCGGTAGCGGCGCTGCTTGCGCTTGAGCAGCCCCTCCTCGGAGTCGCTGCCCGCCGACAGGCACACGCTGTCCTCGCCGTCCTTGCCCTCGGCCAGCTCGTCCGCGGGCAGCAGCAGCTCCTCCTTGGGAGAGCCGTCCGCGCCCTCGCTGCCCGCGCCCGCCGCCGCCGCCGCCGCCGCAGGCCCTCCGGCGGCCCCGACCCCGCCGCCCGCGCCCCGCCGCGCCTCCTGGGCCTCGGACAGCAGCTCGTCGTCCTCGTCCAGCTCCTCGTCCAGCTCCTCCGCCTCGTCGTCGTCGTCGTCGTCGTCGTCCTCGTCCTCCTCCTCCAGCAGCTCGTCGTCCCGGCCGGGCCTGCCGACGTCGGGCCCGCCGCCGCCGCCGCCTGCCGGGCTGCCCAGGTCGTCGAGGGCGGCCGCCCGCGCGAAGGGCGCGTTCTCCCGGTACGACTTGCTGCGGCTGATGCTGACCTGAGGCGCCTGGCTAATCTTGAGCGAGTCCCACGACGAGGCGCCCGCCTCGGCCCGCTCGGCCCGCGCCAGCAGCCGCCCTCCACCGGGCCCGTAAAGGCGGCGCAGCTTGGGCGGCAGGTGCAGCTCGGCCGCCTCGAAGCCCGGCGGGCTGCCCTTGGCTGCTCCTGCCGGGAGGACAGAGACAGGCGTGGGTCACCCACTGGGCCGAGGAGGCGAGGCGAGGCGGGGCGGGCCCCTCTCGCCCAGCCCGGGCTCAGCCTCCCCGCAGCGTCCCGATGCCAGCAGAGGAGGCCTCCAAGCCTGCTCGGCGGCTCTCCCTGCACGAAAGAGCAGGGCCCGTCCCTGCCTTCAGCAAGGGGTGGTCTCAAAGCAGCTCTGCACGCCCCCCGACTGGGAATACCCCCCCCCCCCGTTTTGCTCCAGGAGCCTCCAACTTTTTAAGTAGGTTGCTCCATTCTTAACAAGGTGGACTCGCCTAAGATTACGTCCAGACCTCAAGAGCTTACAAGGAAGATCCGCCGAAATCTATCCAGCTTTTAATTTCTAAAAAAGTATAAACCGCACCTCCATCCAAACATGGATTTCAGGAAGGTTTTGACATGCTTCCTTGAGAGTGCGAATCGAGCCATTATTCGGAGCAAGGACCCGCGAACGGCCTGAGAAGCAAACGGCCCCGTCTGTTCTTTAAGTTCAAACCATTCTGACCTTTCCACAAACGTCAAGGGACACCTGTCTAAAAGCGCTCCCCTCGTCCTGATGGCACCGGACACCCGCCGTTACGTCAAAAGAATTTCCAAATTTCCCTGCCTGCTCCAAGACCGCCGGGAATTTGAAGCGAGCCTTCCCTCCAGAAGAGCTGGAGAACCAGGCCTGCTTTTCCTTCTCATGCCCTTAAAGTCTCAGTGGACCCCCAATTTCTAGCAACCTGGACTGTCACTGCGATCGACACCAGATCCATTCGCCCTTCAGGCCTGGCAGAGAAAGGCGCTGCCGAGCAAGAAAGAACATCCCCTCGAGGACCTCCTGACAACGGCCGTCATGTGTCACCACAATGCCGCCTGCCCAAAATAGGATGGGGGCAGGACGGGGACCCTCGCTTTGCACCCCCAGCCCCTTCCTCGCCTGCAGTGCTGAGCGGGGCAGTAGGAGCCCCGGCGAAGCAGAGCAGTGGGCGCGCGGAGTTCACACGGGTTCCAGATCGCCCGAATCGAGGGGCTTCCTCTCACCCATAGCCCGGCTATGGGTGAGAGGAAGGGAGGGAGATAATGGCAGCCCCCCCCCCCCGCCAACAAAGCGCTGGTCCTTGGCGGGAGGGGCCTTCCAAAGACGAGGTCTCAGCGGAGCCGCCTCCCGGACCCGCTCGGTGGTCTGCCAGGGAAGAACTTGCCGGAAAGTCCGCTCGCCCGCGCCCTGCCACCCCGCCTCGCCCCCTTTGCCCGGCCGCCTTACCTTGCCCGGCCTTGTCCTGCTCCGCGCGGCTGGCCAGCGGCGGCAGGCTGGGGGTGGGTCCCAGCAGCCGCATCTTGCAAGGGCTCCTCCTGCCCAGGATGCTGTCGATGCAGTAGGAGGACAGCAAAGTCGGCGATTTGCTCTTGCACTCGGGCCTCTCGGAGCAGCTCTCCTCTTGGTACTGGTTGCTCATGGCTTTGGCTGGCGGGGCTGGCGGGGCTTGCCCTTGTCCTGCCGCCGCCGCCGGCGGGCTCCGGGCGGCCGAGCGCGGCTCGAACCGGCTCCCCGCCTCCCCACCAGGCAGCGGCTGCGGCTCGGCGCCCCTCTCGCTGCTCCTGGCCAGGACACCGGGCACCAGCGTAGTGACTGCGCCGCAGTAGCTGGGCGCTAGACTCCCTCTGCTCCACGTGCTGCGAGCCGCGCTCCGATTGGCTCTCGCCAGAGGCCGGGCAGCCTCCGGCGCCAGCCAAGGGGAAAACGCGGCCCGGATTCCGGCGCGGAGCGGGAGTGGCGCGGACCCGGCAAAGTTAGCGGACCAACTTTCCTTCCGCGGACCGACCTGGCCCTGCCTGGGGCTGAAGGACGGGAAGGGACCTGCGCGGACGGTCACCGGCGCCGGCGTCTTTCTCCGCTAAGGGACCACTCCTTCCCACTGCGCACCTCCCAGCGGGCGGAGGCGATCAGCCCCTGCAGTCCGTGTTACACTAGGTCTCAGCTCAGTTTGGTACAACTCGGACAGTCTCCTGCTTGGATCGATATTATGCGATCCAAATCTCCGGTTTGTTGTTTCAGAAAGATTTGCTGTCCCTGATTTTTAGAGAGTGAACTTGTTGAGGTTTATTAAATTAGCCACTGAATTACTGGGTTAACGGTAATTACTTTCCATTAGTTCTGATATTTATCCGGAGCCCTAAAATTATCCGGAAAGAATTCTGCATAACTGCAGAACCCTGTGCATGTCTGGTTGGAAGGGGATCCTTCTGTGTTCAATGAATTGTACTTCTTAACATGTGTGTGTAGACGTCCGTGCAAACATGCATACATACATACATAATCACGACCTTATTTATACCTGGCGTGAACGGGAAATTTCAAGTACATGGGATTATATGCACATAGATGTGTAGACAGATCCATAAACAGGAGTTCATTGATCGACAAATTGGTACAAAAAACTTCGCAGATAGAGCCGATCTCTAACACTGGGCGCATATTTTTAACTAATCAAACGATTAAGTATGAACAGGCTCAAGAGAACCCCAACAAACGAGCAGGAAGGATGGAAGGGAATTGCTGGCAGCAACTTGTTAGAGTTTCACTCAATGGTTTCTCGGCGATTATTCTGCCTGGCGTTCTCTCGCTCCATCTTTGGTCCCTGTTGTAGAAACTGTCTCGCCTAAGCAACACCGCGTCATTACGGGGAAAATCCTTCTGAAATTCTGTGGTTTGGCTGGAAGGAGATGGAATAGAGAACTTTGGTTCTGGTTCATCGTCGGGACTGATTCCACACCTAACAGCCTCGCTCTGAAAATTGGGCTCCTGGGACATCACAGCTGCCTAGCTGATCTCGCCTGTCTCTCTGCACTAGCCCCACGGAAATTAAGCGGGCGGCTTGACGCTCTCCTCCCGTCACCCGCCCCTAATCTCGACCCCGTGTGAAATCAGCAGGGTTGGAAAGGAGCGCGGGCGGTGGCGAGTAGGGTGGCTGTCTCTGCCCATTCCAAACCAGTCGGATGCGGAAACTGTGCGTGTGTGTGTTGAAAGAAGTCCTATTCACGTTTAATACAGAAATAAATAGGGTGACCTTTCACCCTCCTAGAATGAGATCTTTCCACCGGGGAAATAAAACTTGGTTGACATCAGGGGCTGTGACCTCTCGGCGAATGTGTGTCGCACGGCAGCGACGGCTTCGCGGGTGCGCAGGGCCAGGTTTCCCGCCGCCTTGCCAAGGGAGAGCCAAAACAGCAGAGCCGAGAGGAACGAGGACGCGAATCGTGATGGGAATCCGAGTTTGGGACTAGGGGAAACATTCCAGGCCTGGTTTTATTTCCACTCCATCTCTCACGCAACGCGTCAAAAGAAATTTACAAAGGCATCTACTTGAATCGCTTACAGTTGGTATTTAAAAATACAAGGATTTATAATTGGGATCTCTCTCTCTCTCTCCACTGTAATAAACATCTGGATCACGCTTTCAAATGCTAATGCGCGATCGGCGTTCCGGGGCTGCCTTGGCAGAAGTGCTTCGCGCGCGCCCGGAGGCGAGGACGGAGCGGGGAGGCGCGGCGCCGGCGCCCAGAGGGAGAGCCTCCCCCGAGGTCGCGGGGCGAGAGGCCCCGCGGCTCCTGCCGCTCACCTGCCGCGGCCGCGGCCGCCCGGTGCGCCGCGCCGCCCACGCCGCCCCTGCGCCCGGCCGCGGGATGCGCCGG